GGGAGGCCAAGGCAGGTGGATTGCTTGGGCTTAGGAGTTCAAGACCAGCATAGGCAACATGGTGAAACTCAGTCTTTGCAAAAAATACAAAAATTAGCCAGGTGGTGCATACCTATAGTCCTGGTTACTTGGGAGGCTGAGGTGGGAGGATTACTTGAGCCTGGGAGGTGGAGGTTGTAGTGAGCTGTGACAGTACCATTGCACTTCAGCCTTCCAGCCTGGGCAACAGAGAGAGAAAGACCTTGTCTCCAGAAAAACAAAACAAAACAAAACAAAAACAAACAAAAACCCTTGCAGATGTTAATTTAATAGAAATAAATGACAATGTAGCTATCAGAGAAATGGGGTGAGGGTACTATAGGGTTCTGATTACTTTTTGCCAACGGCTTCCAAATTTATAGCTATTTGTTTCTAAATGAATATTTTGTTGTTTACTTTTAATTGTAATTAATTAAACTTCATCTCCTAGATTGAGGCTCCTAGAGACCTTATAAGGGAAAATTAAAGAAATTTCTCCTTTTATATTTAAAAACCAACAGAATGCTTCACTAGGTTTTTCAAAGTTGTTAATGTTTTAGAGAATTAGAATAGTTGGCAATTAAATTTGCAATAAAGTTGCGATCTTGCCTCACTGCAACCTCTGCCTCCCAGGTTCAAGTGATTCTCCTGCCTCAGCCTCCTGAGCAGCTGGGTTTACAGGTGGCTGCCACCAAATCCAGCTAATTTTTGTATTTTTAGTAGAGATGGGGTTTCACTATGCTGGCCAGCCTTGTCTTGAACTACTGAGTTCAGGTGATCCGCTCCCCTCTGCCTCCCAAAGTGCTGAGATTACAGGCATGAGTTACCACACCCTGCCAGTGTGTGGTGTTTTTAAAGTCACCATTGAACTCTACCAAAAAAGTCTTCAAATTCAGGAGGGAAAAGAGCAAATTATAAGCTAGATATTTATGTCATATGTACATATATATAATTATGTTGTATAAAAGGAGCTAGTTCAGTTAATTTGTGAAAAATTTTGTGGGGGAAATATTTCACATGGTCTGCCAAGAGCTACAGTCTTATTAAAACAGGTCTGTTACTGCTGGTTACTGAAAAAGCCACATCAGAAGAGCTTGACTGTAAAATTATCTACATGTTATAAACATCAAGTCTTCCCCGAAAAAGTCTGCAGAGTACTTAAAATAAAAATTAAGGTGCCACTGTTTCATATTATGCCTGCTAACATTACCTCTACTGTTGTTAACCAACCACAGAGGCCAAGGAAGCTACTAACCAGGCCCTAAATAGTAACTGCAAAGTTCTCAGAGCCAGAAGGCAGAGAAACCTCCAGATCTGGCCACATACCTTTGAAAAAACTTTGAGTGGGGACAGAGAATGAGCCTGCATAGATCATTTCTTTTTAATTTTCTTTTTCTTTTTTTTGAGATGGAGTCTCATTCTGTCACCCAGGCTGGAGTGCAGTGGTGTGATCTTGGCTCAATGCAACCTCTACCTCCCGGGTTCAAGTGATTCTCCTGCCTCAGCCTCCTGAGGAGCTGGTATTGCAGATGCCCACCACCATGCCTGGCTAATTTTTGTATTTTTAGTAGAGATGGGGTTTCACCATGTTGGCCAGGCTGGTCTCAAACTCCCAACTCAGGTGATCCACCCGCCTCGGCCTCCCAAAGTGCTGGGATTATAAACATGAACCACTGTGCCCAGCCTCTCTCTTTTTTTTAATGGACAGATCCTGCCTCCTGTTTGTTTTGTTGTGCTTTTTTGAGACGGAGTCTCACTCTGTCGCCCAGGCTGGAGTGCAGTGGTGCGATCGGCTCACTGCAATCTCCACCTCCTGGGTATAAGCAATTCTCCTGCCTCAGCCTCCTGAGTAGCTGGGACAACAGGCACATGCTATCACACCCAGCTTGTTTTTTTTTTTTTTGGTATTTTTAGTAGAGGCAGGGTTTCACCATGTTGGCCAGGATGGTCTCAATCCCCTGATCCACCCATCTTGGCCTCCCAAAGTGCTGGGATTACAGGCATGAGCCACTGCGCTGGACCTATGTTTGTTTGTACAAATAGCAAACAGGTACCA